GCTCCACAGGTAATAATCCAGAAGGTTTAAATCAGGGGTTGGAGCAGAACATGAATCAGATTCATCTCAACCAAACCAAAGATCTCCACACTGAAATAAGTTGGTTCTCCGTTCTAATCAATCGAAAATGTTGTTAAAAGAGGAAAGAGACATATTACCAATTTCTTTATACGCGATGAATCCAGTGTGCCTTCATTTCAGCTACAGTAACAAAATTCATAAAAAGCAATTCGAAAAACATCACTTGTTGGATGAACCCAAAGCTAAAGAAACTATGGATTCCATTTCATTGTCTTATTACAATGTGTAAATGATCGGGAACAAAATGGGGTTGTAAATATTTTGATATAAAATGATTGATGTTGATTTTACATCAAGAAAATTATTTGCAACCCTATTTTGGCTCTGATCTTTCACACTAAACAAACTATTTTGGCATCAGTGTCTTTTTCCAATTAAAACGGGTGACAAAGGTAAATAAGGAAGCATATAGAAGAATTATTTGTTGCTGAATTGAATAAACTATAACATAAAGATAGAAAAACTATATCTCAATCACTTCAAACAGAAAAATATGAATCATAGTCAATCTTCGCAGCTGGTGATGTAATGCAAACACCACTATTAGTCCAGAATATTTACAATATTTAAAAAATTGGGAAATGTCTGCAAAGTTTCCTTAAAAAATATTTTATACATAAGTGAAAATATGTATTTTGCATACACAAGGGAAATCTATTTTGTGTTTTACATTTGAAATAACAAATCAAAAAAGGATTTGCGCTTTGTATTTAAATACTTTTAAAAAACCATTTTGCACATCTCTAAATGTGATCAGAATCAGATGGTCAATAACTACTATACACAAATCGGAAGTTGAAATCAAAACGGATTCAAAATTATAATTCTAAATCACCCGTGAAGTGTATTCGATATTTTCTGGTGTACCTAGAATAACATTTTCTTTGCATGTAACTGTACATCACAAAATTGTCCTTGACATAATATATTACAGGAATAAGCTAGTTGCAAACCTAGTTGAATGTAATGAATATAATACATTGTCCCTTCAAGGACATCGGTGAAACAGAGTTGGCTTAGACATTGCAATAACTATAGTGTAATGTACAAGGGTATAGGTACATAAATGCATGATTCACTGCAACTATATTTAAAAGTGGACCCAAATCCACATCTTCATTGCTAACATACTAATTCCAATTTATTGGTCATAGCTACTATCGAATATCAATATATCTGATTGTGATTTATTGGAGATAGTTCCATTAAAAAAATGCGAATACAAATAAAAAATACAGTACATATCAGAACTTTTTGCAAAGCCGTCAGCAAAACTGCTCTGAGCCCTATAAGCCCAAATGCCTTACTTCATGAGCTTTAGTCCATGAAGCTCCAACTACATTTGAAAGCCCATAAACTTTGAGTTATTAGTTTCTTAGAAAGAAAATAGATTCAAATCCCTGAACCTTTTAGAAGATCTTCAAGCACTTTGAATAGGCTTAAAGTCATTGAATTACAAATTAATTCATTTACCACTACTTACTCATGAAGGTGCTTGAATTACAGAAGCCCTGAAAGGAGTGAAAACAAAGATCATATTAGGACGATAAGCATAGTGTATCGGCCCCAGAGGGATATCCGGATTATTTTTTGAAGGTATATTGGTTCTAATGAGATACGTTAGTCCTGAAAATTTTAGGCCTCTATCTATTTTGGTTTTTGAATAAATCCAAAAAGTGAAAAATCAGAAAATATTTTTTTTCTCAAAAACGGTTTAACCGATAAACTTAAAATTTTACATTATTGGTTTCAATATTTAATGTTATTTGCACCTAAATAACATTGAAATAAATCAATTTTTATATATAAAAATCGGTTTTTATTGTTCTTCAATATGGCGTACCTTTTTAATCGACTTAACGTTTTCAGGGGTTATTCGCGGTAATTTTGTTAAGATCTATGCGTAGATGTAGATTATGATCTTATCGATTGTTTCACCTTACTTATATACATACTAGATTTTATAATAGTTAATAAATATGGTGGATGAGCATGGCACAATTTTATTGTTTTAGTTAAAAATAGTAGACACTAATAAACCCATTTATTATTAGTAATAGCATTTGAATAGTGAGTATCATTCGTTTGAATATGGGTAAATGTTGTTTTTCACAATTGGCAAGAACTGAACATGAAATATTATTTGGTTAAAAGTGTTTATTTGTGAGATTATGAAGTAACAAAAAATGAGAAATTACTTATTTCCTCTAATAAATCAAGTCCTGCAAAACAATTTAAGGGAAATATAAAACCCAAGCACAGGGGCATGGTATTCATGTGTAACCGGATGTTTACTAAAATAAATTTGTTTAATTTAGAAACGATCAGCGATTAATACATTCAGCTGTAAATTCCAGTCGTAAACTATGAATATGTTGTATACAACAAGACAAAATATTTACGAAAGTGGAATTTTCAATCAAAATTTTCCGACTAGAACGCTTAAAACTCGACTGGAACGCTCTTAGCGTAGTACACATATGTAGATTAGTACCTAAATAATCCTTAAAAGAAAAAGAACGAAAAGGATTAACACATTTATTAGACATTTTTCGTAAATTTTCATTGTTATTTCGTACAATTTTTCTGTAAAAAATTAGGAATTTCTAATAATTCTCTTGACTGAATAAAACGTAAATTATAAATCTTTTATTTTATATGTAATTATAAAATCATGTGACTTGTTTTTTGTATAAACGTAAGAAACCTACTATTATTGTATAAAAAATAAATTCTTATCAGAGAAAATGGATTGTTAAATTTTTGAGTTAATTTTCATAAAAAATTAAAAATTGGGAATAAAATTCTTATGCAGAAAAATCCTATTATTTGCGATCCTAAACAGAATTTTTTTAAATTTTTCATAGTTTTTCAGGAAAGAAAATTAAACTCGAAGCAGAAAAAGGTTTCCAAGCACACAAATAGGCAGTATTATTTTTCGAACGAAATATAACATTTTAAATTTATTGTTAGAAGATATTATCTTGCGTTAGTAATAATTGCATTTTAAAAACAACGTATTTCTAATAATTAGTTTAGTAATCAATAAAATTATAAAGACAAACACAAAAAAGAATATTTCTTTCAATAGTAGCTTCCTTTAAAATCGAATTACTATCTTATCATTCCGTAAAATTAATGGTCAAAAACTTGTGAGAAATCGTCTATTTCGTATCTGTTTCTGTCTCACCTGGGTTCAAAGGTTAAGCGATGGGATAGGCCTATACTTATACACATAACAAACTACATATTCCACTCCCGAATAGGTATTGAATTGAACGGGGTTGATTTTAAATTCACAATGACTAAGGCACTCTTGTTCTACATTCTACAACGACAGGACGTTGTTCTTTTATAATCATTATGTTGACGGTTGTATCGTAGCAACTCACGCAGACAACATTTTCCACCATGAAATAGGTAGTGAAAATTTTCGTTAAGGTTGTCTTTTATCGATTTCAACGTAAGAAACGTATACTAGGTGTACTGTTGTCTATACAGGAGCGAATAATCCTGTTTTTAATTCCCTGTTATTATTACAGAAATATTACGAATGCGTAGGAGGGCCAATTCTTTAGAACTCTAAATTTCGACTTCTAATTCTTTAACCGAAGAGAGACCAAAAAATTCTAAACTCCTTGGAAATGGATAATCTAAAATATTGGATCAATATTGTATTCCGGGTTCAATGTCATGGTCCATGGAATTTCGAAATTCCAAATTGATATCAGCTGCTAATAAATGCATATAATCCAAAATTCTTAGAAAACGATTCGAAAAAATTTACTTGTTAGATGAACCCAAAGCTAAAGAAACTATGGATTCAATTTCTTTCTCTTATTACAATGTCTAAAAGATCGGAAACAAAATTGGATTGTAAATGTTTTGATATAAAATGATTGGTGTTGATTTTACATCAAGAAAATTGTTGATTTCACATCAAGAAAATTATTTGCAACCCTATTTTGGCTCTGATCTTTCACGGTAAACAAACTATTTTGGCATCGGTGTCTTTTTTCCAATTAAAACGGGTGATAAAGATAAATAAGGAAGCATATAGAAGAATTATTTGTTGCTGAACTGAAGAAACTATAACATAAAAATGGAAAAACTATATCTCAGTCATTTCAAACAGAAAAATATGATTATTAAAAAACCATTTTGCCATCTCTAATCTTCACCTACCGTAACCATATTTGATTACACCAAGACCTTAAAGTTGCGGTAGGTAAAGACAACACGGACGATATACTTTCTTTTGTTTACACGATTGAATCAAACCTAAACCAACCCAATCCCAGCCCAACCTAAGGCAATTGAATCGCAAGCAACAATCATCACAAAACTGACCAAAAGGTCACTCAATAGGTACACTACGTTGAAATTTGGGTTTGAATCAAAATCGAAAAGTCGAAATTACGAAACAAACTTTTGAGTTGCTCATCGAATTTTCGAATTACAAATCGCAATTTCGGAAACAAAAGGGAAAAGTAAAAACTTTTAACTATTATCAATACCTTGATCAAATAACATCGAAAGGTACAAACAGAATGCTACAATTAGGTTTAATTTAATTTAACAATTAACACGTATAATTTTGTTAATTACATAGAACCAAAAACTATGTAACTTTTATAGTTTGAGCCAGCCAAATTGAGTTCAGCGCAATGCCAACAATAAAATTATATACAGCCATGCAGTTTTAACATTTAATTGTCAGATAATTATATTACTATACAACAAAACTAATTATCATAAAACTCTAGCACATAAAATCACAATTAAATATTTTCTTTTGCGCAATTTACACACAGATTATTATTTCTCTTTTGTAAAATACTATTATAAATGTGTCAAACGGAGAAAGTCGGGCAGAATTGATTATAAAAATAGAATCTTCATTAAGTCAGTTAAAAATATCCCAGCTACATAAGTTCATTCCGCAAATGTTTTGTCGGTAAATTCATGAAATGGCTTACCATTATCTGTTTTTTATTATTTAATCTAAGTAAGTACAATAGTTCAAATCACACCAAACCACAGTTATAAATGCAGTTCTTTGTTAATACAGTGAATGAACATCTTTTTGTGTTTTATTGAAGAACAATAAATAAAATGTTCCCTAGGGTGTCATTTTATTGTATTTTTCTGTTTGTTTTCTTTATTGAATCTAAATGTCAGGAAGACGAAGAAGAGGACCCAAATCAGAATATTGTACGAATTGGTAAGATTTTGATTTTTAATTTGAACGCATAAATGAAAGAAAACTAGTCTGCAAGTGATTGGTCAATTACAAATAAACAAACGCAAAAATATAAACAATTTGAGTGTACATATTTTCGATTTCTTTTGTCAAAAAAGTTATTTACTTTTTACTCCTAACATACGATAAAGTGAAATAATATTAAGCAATATTGCTTCATAAATACAGAATCCTGCAAAATTTCAAAATCATTTAATCACAAGCAGCTCTCATTTCCCATTCATCGTCATTTATTGAATAATGAAATAACTATTATTACAATTCACAGTGTTCTAATTACTTATGAAATGTTAGAAGTAAACAAAAAAAAAACAAAATTCAATTCATCATCTTAAGGTCGTCAGTCCTAGAACTGATTGGACATGTACCTCCAATCCTGACCTAATCTTCGCATTTTCCTTAAACTAAAACAACCCACATCCTTAATTATTTGCGAACAGTAATCCAATCTAGGTCTACCTCTACCCCTCCTAACTCCCGTTTCTGCCTCTAATATGTCTCTGGCTAGACCTTCATGCCCGAGAAGGTGTCCTACCAACCTATCTCGCCTATTTCTAATTGACTTCCATAGAGTCCACTGTTCTCCTATTCATTCTAATACCTCTTCAATTCCATTACGAAATTTTGTTTAGTTTTATTTCATTCATATTATACAAGAACATAGCCAGAATTCCTTTTAACATGATGGGCTAAGGGTAGGCGCAAAACGTTTTGGCATAGGGTTGCGGTTTTTAAATTTTACTTTATCTTGTAAATATTTAGGATGTTCCCGCACATGAGCCAGAACTTTCAATCCATGACCTTTGGCCCATCTGCAACTACGTTTCTGTTCATAAACAAAAGTGACGTTTCTTTCTAGGAGCCCTATTTGAGGTTGATAACGAAGAAAAACAATTGGCCCTAAACCTTTCGGTCCAATTCGTTCTCACTCAAGGTTTACTTCCTAATTATCAGCTAGAGACCCTTTTTGAGGTCACTAAGCCTGATCATCCCTTTGCTGCGCTAAGTTCAGCGTGTAACCTCTTGAAAGGGGGTGCCTTGGGCATTATAGGACCCCCATCGGAAGAAAATGCCAATGCCGTACAATCTCTTTGTGATTTTAAAGAGATAGCATTGATACAAACAAGATGGGATGCAGAACAACAACGAGATTTGACCTCGTTGAATCTATACCCTTATCCACCAGGTAAATTCCAGCTAATAGTCATAATACAGAATTTGTGGATTTATGTTGTAATAAAGAAAACCCTCTTTTCAAAATATCTGTCATTGTGGGTCCCTCTAAACGTTGTTAAAACAATTTTATACGTTGAATCTGGACGGCATTCAGTTGTGGTAACTCCATAAAAATAACGACGAGAATCAACTCAATGTTCTTGTTACAAAACAGTTTATTGAAAACCACCATAATTATTTCACCAGGTGGAAGAAATATTAACAAATCTCTCCTATACTTATATTAATGGGGGGGGGGGTTAAACACTGCAAAATGGGTAGTATATGTTTAAAAGGGTATATTGATTTCGCACAATAATTCGGTTTTAACAAAATAATTGTAGTACTATATTTAACATTTTTACCTGTTGGAAGTAAGATGATAAGGATAATCTCTTCCTTTCTGTAGTTCTGGCTCGAGTATTTGTAGACATAGTGGAAGCATGGGAATGGAAGAGTTTTACAATCCTTTACGAAAACAAAGAGGGGTTGTTCAGAATCAGTGAACTATTAAGAATGTACAATAGTTCTGGTCATACTATAGTTGTTCGACAATTGGATAATGACAACTCAGGGGATTANTTAACCTTGTAGGTCGGTTGGTCGTGGTTGTTGTTGTCACCTCTCGTAGTTTAGTGGTCAGAACATTGGTGCGTAAAGCCAAAGGTCCCGGGTTCGATTCCCGACGGGGGTGTGACAACAGCAACAATTTTTCCCTCATTAATTTGAGGTAGCGTGTAGTGGGTAAAAAATTCAGAAATGAATTTTCAGAATAATATTTCATATTAAACTAACTCACTTCTAAAAGATATCTAAATTATATGTATGTTTAATCATAGTATATTCAGTATATAGTTACATTAGTTCGACGGATCGTTAACCTTGTAGGTCGGTTGGTCGTGGTTGTTGTTGTCACCTCTCGTAGTTTAGTGGTCAGAACATTGGTGCGTAAAGCCAAAGGTCCCGGGTTCGATTCCCGACGGGGGTGTGACAACAGCAACAATTTTTCCCTCATTAATTTGAGGTAGCGTGTAGTGGGTAAAAAATTCAGAAATGAATTTTCAGAATAATATTTCATATTAAACTAACTCACTTCTAAAAGATATCTAAATTATATGTATGTTTAATCATAGTATATTCAGTATATAGTTACATTAGTTCGACGGATCGTTAACCTTGTAGGTCGGTTGGTCGTGGTTGTTGTTGTCACCTCTCGTAGTTTAGTGGTCAGAACATTGGTGCGTAAAGCCAAAGGTCCCGGGTTCGATTCCCGACGGGGGTGTGACAACAGCAACAATTTTTCCCTCATTAATTTGAGGTAGCGTGTAGTGGGTAAAAAATTCAGAAATGAATTTTCAGAATAATATTTCATATTAAACTAACTCACTTCTAAAAGATATCTAAATTATATGTATGTTTAATCATAGTATATTCAGTATATAGTTACATTAGTTCGACGGATCGTTAACCTTGTAGGTCGGTTGGTCGTGGTTGTTGTTGTCACCTCTCGTAGTTTAGTGGTCAGAACATTGGTGCGTAAAGCCAAAGGTCCCGGGTTCGATTCCCGACGGGGGTGTGACAACAGCAACAATTTTTCCCTCATTAATTTGAGGTAGCGTGTAGTGGGTAAAAAATTCAGAAATGAATTTTCAGAATAATATTTCATATTAAACTAACTCACTTCTAAAAGATATCTAAATTATATGTATGTTTAATCATAGTATATTCAGTATATAGTTACATTAGTTCGACGGATCGTTAACCTTGTAGGTCGGTTGGTCGTGGTTGTTGTTGTCACCTCTCGTAGTTTAGTGGTCAGAACATTGGTGCGTAAAGCCAAAGGTCCCGGGTTCGATTCCCGACGGGGGTGTGACAACAGCAACAATTTTTCCCTCATTAATTTGAGGTAGCGTGTAGTGGGTAAAAAATTCAGAAATGAATTTTCAGAATAATATTTCATATTAAACTAACTCACTTCTAAAAGATATCTAAATTATATGTATGTTTAATCATAGTATATTCAGTATATAGTTACATTAGTTCGACGGATCGTTAACCTTGTAGGTCGGTTGGTCGTGGTTGTTGTTGTCACCTCTCGTAGTTTAGTGGTCAGAACATTGGTGCGTAAAGCCAAAGGTCCCGGGTTCGATTCCCGACGGGGGTGTGACAACAGCAACAATTTTTCCCTCATTAATTTGAGGTAGCGTGTAGTGGGTAAAAAATTCAGAAATGAATTTTCAGAATAATATTTCATATTAAACTAACTCACTTCTAAAAGATATCTAAATTATATGTATGTTTAATCATAGTATATTCAGTATATAGTTACATTAGTTCGACGGATCGTTAACCTTGTAGGTCGGTTGGTCGTGGTTGTTGTTGTCACCTCTCGTAGTTTAGTGGTCAGAACATTGGTGCGTAAAGCCAAAGGTCCCGGGTTCGATTCCCGACGGGGGTGTGACAACAGCAACAATTTTTCCCTCATTAATTTGAGGTAGCGTGTAGTGGGTAAAAAATTCAGAAATGAATTTTCAGAATAATATTTCATATTAAACTAACTCACTTCTAAAAGATATCTAAATTATATGTATGTTTAATCATAGTATATTCAGTATATAGTTACATTAGTTCGACGGATCGTTAACCTTGTAGGTCGGTTGGTCGTGGTTGTTGTTGTCACCTCTCGTAGTTTAGTGGTCAGAACATTGGTGCGTAAAGCCAAAGGTCCCGGGTTCGATTCCCGACGGGGGTGTGACAACAGCAACAATTTTTCCCTCATTAATTTGAGGTAGCGTGTAGTGGGTAAAAAATTCAGAAATGAATTTTCAGAATAATATTTCATATTAAACTAACTCACTTCTAAAAGATATCTAAATTATATGTATGTTTAATCATAGTATATTCAGTATATAGTTACATTAGTTCGACGGATCGTTAACCTTGTAGGTCGGTTGGTCGTGGTTGTTGTTGTCACCTCTCGTAGTTTAGTGGTCAGAACATTGGTGCGTAAAGCCAAAGGTCCCGGGTTCGATTCCCGACGGGGGTGTGACAACAGCAACAATTTTTCCCTCATTAATTTGAGGTAGCGTGTAGTGGGTAAAAAATTCAGAAATGAATTTTCAGAATAATATTTCATATTAAACTAACTCACTTCTAAAAGATATCTAAATTATATGTATGTTTAATCATAGTATATTCAGTATATAGTTACATTAGTTCGACGGATCGTTAACCTTGTAGGTCGGTTGGTCGTGGTTGTTGTTGTCACCTCTCGTAGTTTAGTGGTCAGAACATTGGTGCGTAAAGCCAAAGGTCCCGGGTTCGATTCCCGACGGGGGTGTGACAACAGCAACAATTTTTCCCTCATTAATTTGAGGTAGCGTGTAGTGGGTAAAAAATTCAGAAATGAATTTTCAGAATAATATTTCATATTAAACTAACTCACTTCTAAAAGATATCTAAATTATATGTATGTTTAATCATAGTATATTCAGTATATAGTTACATTAGTTCGACGGATCGTTAACCTTGTAGGTCGGTTGGTCGTGGTTGTTGTTGTCACCTCTCGTAGTTTAGTGGTCAGAACATTGGTGCGTAAAGCCAAAGGTCCCGGGTTCGATTCCCGACGGGGGTGTGACAACAGCAACAATTTTTCCCTCATTAATTTGAGGTAGCGTGTAGTGGGTAAAAAATTCAGAAATGAATTTTCAGAATAATATTTCATATTAAACTAACTCACTTCTAAAAGATATCTAAATTATATGTATGTTTAATCATAGTATATTCAGTATATAGTTACATTAGTTCGACGGATCGTTAACCTTGTAGGTCGGTTGGTCGTGGTTGTTGTTGTCACCTCTCGTAGTTTAGTGGTCAGAACATTGGTGCGTAAAGCCAAAGGTCCCGGGTTCGATTCCCGACGGGGGTGTGACAACAGCAACAATTTTTCCCTCATTAATTTGAGGTAGCGTGTAGTGGGTAAAAAATTCAGAAATGAATTTTCAGAATAATATTTCATATTAAACTAACTCACTTCTAAAAGATATCTAAATTATATGTATGTTTAATCATAGTATATTCAGTATATAGTTACATTAGTTCGACGGATCGTTAACCTTGTAGGTCGGTTGGTCGTGGTTGTTGTTGTCACCTCTCGTAGTTTAGTGGTCAGAACATTGGTGCGTAAAGCCAAAGGTCCCGGGTTCGATTCCCGACGGGGGTGTGACAACAGCAACAATTTTTCCCTCATTAATTTGAGGTAGCGTGTAGTGGGTAAAAAATTCAGAAATGAATTTTCAGAATAATATTTCATATTAAACTAACTCACTTCTAAAAGATATCTAAATTATATGTATGTTTAATCATAGTATATTCAGTATATAGTTACATTAGTTCGACGGATCGTTAACCTTGTAGGTCGGTTGGTCGTGGTTGTTGTTGTCACCTCTCGTAGTTTAGTGGTCAGAACATTGGTGCGTAAAGCCAAAGGTCCCGGGTTCGATTCCCGACGGGGGTGTGACAACAGCAACAATTTTTCCCTCATTAATTTGAGGTAGCGTGTAGTGGGTAAAAAATTCAGAAATGAATTTTCAGAATAATATTTCATATTAAACTAACTCACTTCTAAAAGATATCTAAATTATATGTATGTTTAATCATAGTATATTCAGTATATAGTTACATTAGTTCGACGGATCGTTAACCTTGTAGGTCGGTTGGTCGTGGTTGTTGTTGTCACCTCTCGTAGTTTAGTGGTCAGAACATTGGTGCGTAAAGCCAAAGGTCCCGGGTTCGATTCCCGACGGGGGTGTGACAACAGCAACAATTTTTCCCTCATTAATTTGAGGTAGCGTGTAGTGGGTAAAAAATTCAGAAATGAATTTTCAGAATAATATTTCATATTAAACTAACTCACTTCTAAAAGATATCTAAATTATATGTATGTTTAATCATAGTATATTCAGTATATAGTTACATTAGTTCGACGGATCGTTAACCTTGTAGGTCGGTTGGTCGTGGTTGTTGTTGTCACCTCTCGTAGTTTAGTGGTCAGAACATTGGTGCGTAAAGCCAAAGGTCCCGGGTTCGATTCCCGACGGGGGTGTGACAACAGCAACAATTTTTCCCTCATTAATTTGAGGTAGCGTGTAGTGGGTAAAAAATTCAGAAATGAATTTTCAGAATAATATTTCATATTAAACTAACTCACTTCTAAAAGATATCTAAATTATATGTATGTTTAATCATAGTATATTCAGTATATAGTTACATTAGTTCGACGGATCGTTAACCTTGTAGGTCGGTTGGTCGTGGTTGTTGTTGTCACCTCTCGTAGTTTAGTGGTCAGAACATTGGTGCGTAAAGCCAAAGGTCCCGGGTTCGATTCCCGACGGGGGTGTGACAACAGCAACAATTTTTCCCTCATTAATTTGAGGTAGCGTGTAGTGGGTAAAAAATTCAGAAATGAATTTTCAGAATAATATTTCATATTAAACTAACTCACTTCTAAAAGATATCTAAATTATATGTATGTTTAATCATAGTATATTCAGTATATAGTTACATTAGTTCGACGGATCGTTAACCTTGTAGGTCGGTTGGTCGTGGTTGTTGTTGTCACCTCTCGTAGTTTAGTGGTCAGAACATTGGTGCGTAAAGCCAAAGGTCCCGGGTTCGATTCCCGACGGGGGTGTGACAACAGCAACAATTTTTCCCTCATTAATTTGAGGTAGCGTGTAGTGGGTAAAAAATTCAGAAATGAATTTTCAGAATAATATTTCATATTAAACTAACTCACTTCTAAAAGATATCTAAATTATATGTATGTTTAATCATAGTATATTCAGTATATAGTTACATTAGTTCGACGGATCGTTAACCTTGTAGGTCGGTTGGTCGTGGTTGTTGTTGTCACCTCTCGTAGTTTAGTGGTCAGAACATTGGTGCGTAAAGCCAAAGGTCCCGGGTTCGATTCCCGACGGGGGTGTGACAACAGCAACAATTTTTCCCTCATTAATTTGAGGTAGCGTGTAGTGGGTAAAAAATTCAGAAATGAATTTTCAGAATAATATTTCATATTAAACTAACTCACTTCTAAAAGATATCTAAATTATATGTATGTTTAATCATAGTATATTCAGTATATAGTTACATTAGTTCGACGGATCGTTAACCTTGTAGGTCGGTTGGTCGTGGTTGTTGTTGTCACCTCTCGTAGTTTAGTGGTCAGAACATTGGTGCGTAAAGCCAAAGGTCCCGGGTTCGATTCCCGACGGGGGTGTGACAACAGCAACAATTTTTCCCTCATTAATTTGAGGTAGCGTGTAGTGGGTAAAAAATTCAGAAATGAATTTTCAGAATAATATTTCATATTAAACTAACTCACTTCTAAAAGATATCTAAATTATATGTATGTTTAATCATAGTATATTCAGTATATAGTTACATTAGTTCGACGGATCGTTAACCTTGTAGGTCGGTTGGTCGTGGTTGTTGTTGTCACCTCTCGTAGTTTAGTGGTCAGAACATTGGTGCGTAAAGCCAAAGGTCCCGGGTTCGATTCCCGACGGGGGTGTGACAACAGCAACAATTTTTCCCTCATTAATTTGAGGTAGCGTGTAGTGGGTAAAAAATTCAGAAATGAATTTTCAGAATAATATTTCATATTAAACTAACTCACTTCTAAAAGATATCTAAATTATATGTATGTTTAATCATAGTATATTCAGTATATAGTTACATTAGTTCGACGGATCGTTAACCTTGTAGGTCGGTTGGTCGTGGTTGTTGTTGTCACCTCTCGTAGTTTAGTGGTCAGAACATTGGTGCGTAAAGCCAAAGGTCCCGGGTTCGATTCCCGACGGGGGTGTGACAACAGCAACAATTTTTCCCTCATTAATTTGAGGTAGCGTGTAGTGGGTAAAAAATTCAGAAATGAATTTTCAGAATAATATTTCATATTAAACTAACTCACTTCTAAAAGATATCTAAATTATATGTATGTTTAATCATAGTATATTCAGTATATAGTTACATTAGTTCGACGGATCGTTAACCTTGTAGGTCGGTTGGTCGTGGTTGTTGTTGTCACCTCTCGTAGTTTAGTGGTCAGAACATTGGTGCGTAAAGCCAAAGGTCCCGGGTTCGATTCCCGGCGGGGGTGTGACAACAGCAACAATTTTTCCCTCATTAATTTGAGGTAGTGTGTAGTGGGTAAAAAATTCAGAAATTAATTTTCAGAATAATATTTCATTTTAAACTAACTTACTTCTAAAACATGTCTAAATTGTATGTATGTTGTCTCAGTTCTATTTGAGAATTTTTGTCAGATAATACCGAGCACTTTCTATATGTTACCACCTGGTATGTAAGTGGGCCTAGTGTGTGTGACTTACTTAGGTAACCCAGATGTGTAGAAGTAAATGAAGTTAGTATACGGATCTCAGTGAACTTGTGTTGACCACAGGCTATTTCTTCTGGGAATTATACTTTTTTAGTGCGATTAGACTAATTTAGAAGGCCATTATGACACAAGTTACCGTCGCATCATCTTTGGTACTGATCGTACTTAATGTAAGTCAAATCAAGCAGAAAATAAGTATTTGTTACATATGTAAATAGTTGTACATGTAAAATTTGTTTTCTATAAGTGTTTATCATTAGAAGCCTCTGTTGAACCGGTTTTTAAAATTGTATTTTTTTAGCTTTAATTAATAAGTATTATTCTGCTTTGTATGAAATTATTTCAGATTGTTTTCGTATGGATTAATATAAAAATACTAATGTTTATATGCGTTTTNGGGTATATTGATTTCGCACAATAATTCAGTTTTAACAAAATAATTGTAGTACTATATTTAACATATTTTACCTGTTGGAAGTAAGATGATAAGGATAATCTCTTCCTTTCTGTAGTTCTGGCTCGAGTATTTGTAGACATAGTGGAAGCATGGGAATGGAAGAGTTTTACAATCCTTTACGAAAACAAAGAGGGGTTGTTCAGAATCAGTGAACTATTAAGAATGTACAATAGTTCTGGTCATACTATAGTTGTTCGACAATTGGATAATGACAACTCAGGGGATTACAGGTAGGTACTGTACATTAAATAATATTAACAGTTCAATCAACACCACGTAAGGAATTCCATTTAGGAATAGGTAAATTTGGTTCCTCGCAAACCATCGCAACATCCTGTATATCTAGATATAATTTTATTTTATAATATTTACCAGTTTCTACTACCTTTTTGTTAAACATCGTGCGCCACCTAGTACGTTTCAAAATTCCCTTTGTCGTTCAGGATAACTTTTTAATAACTGAAAAAGGATTTATGATCTTTACGACATCCCTTATAAAATATGCATCAAAACTGGCCCAAAACTCAGAAAACAATCGTTTTACCCTTTTGGCAGATCAACCCTAAAGGAGGTCCTCAAATCGGGTCAAACCCACTTCATCATTGACTGCTCGATTGATAATTTAAACGAAGTATTAATCCAAGCTCAACAAGTGGGTCTTATCAGTTCGAGGTTTAATTTCATCATTACCAATCTGGACTTGCACACTATAGATCTTGAACCCTTCAAATACGCCGAAGCTAACATAACAGGGGTAAGATTAATATTATTATCCAAATGGACGATTTCAAAGTCATCTCACTCATAGGTTTATACTCCATATCTAGTGATACTAAATCGATCAAAATAATGATATCTTAGATAAATGACTGAATGTAAACAATGGGTCGGGGAAGAACAGACTCAGAGATTGCAGATTCAACTCAAATCACTTATCTAAACTCTCTTCTAATGACATGAAAAAGTTGGACAATTTTGTAGAGCAAAGTAGTAAATCCACCTACATATGGCCAAAAGCTCTTAGTCAGTCAACCAAATGTAAGGAATTATATCAATAAAACGTTTGAAAGAATCAAGCTGAAAGAGACCTGATCCTATTACTATGTGGAAGGTCAGATTATGATTATTCAAAACTTTTGGGAGAACACGTTAAACTCTTGTGGGTATAGGGGGTAGACAAGCCCCCCGGCATTCACTTCGTGTTGATTTTTAGCAATTTGAAATACAAAATTTCCAAACAGTTTGCATGTTGGTTACTAACTACCCACTTATCAAGTGAATTGTAGTACCTATTCCGCCAACCCTGGCTGTCGGCGTCCCATTTTTTGCATTCAAAAAAGATATTGTTTTTCCACCGATTTAGTATTTGATGTGAGACATGATTAGAAACCAATGACTTCAATATCGCCCATTTGTTCTGTTTACCACTCTCTAGACATTTCCTGTTATCTAATAATTATGTTTAGATACCCATCTATCCCAGAATTTGTTTGTCTTTTTATTTTAATCTTTTACAACCGATTCTTTATCCAGGTTCGATTGCTAAATCCGGAAAATTCGTTAGTAAAAGTGATTAGTACTGCCATCCACAACCACAACAGTCAAGAAAATTCTGAGCCTCCTCCAGGTTGGACAGTTCAATTGGACGTCGCCTTGATCATTGACGCCGTTGGTATGTTTAGTGCTGCCTTAAATCAAATAGTTGGAATGGAAAACGTTAAATTCAAAGCCTTCGACTGTGAGACGGAAGACAACTCCATGTTTGGACTTAACATTATAACATACATGAAAACAGTAAGTGTTTAGCTCATTAGTGTTATTGCACTAGTCAATAAAGAAAAACCGATGACTTCAAATCGCCAGCAGGGAGTTACGTAGTCTGGAGAACCCTAAACCCTAAACCTAGCAAGAAATTCTAATCACGACGACAAATCATTCTTTTTGACTTGGTGGTTGATACATAACGGTCAAACTTCGACATTTTATTTCACAGTGAAGTTTTGGGATCTATGTCCTAGTTCTTCTGATTACTTTTTATTGAAATCATCAATAGTATCTATTGCTTTTGTTTAAGCCCAAATGTGCCTAAATAAAATTTTATTTCCATACTTTCGACACCATTTGATGACCAAAGTTGATACGTAGGTTGTAGATTTTGATTTTACTTTCTAATCGCTTCCAGTTGACTTTCGAAGGGCTTAGTGGCATAATAAAGTTCGACAACAAAGGATTTAGAAGCGATTTCTCTCTTGATGTTGTTGAACTTAATCAAGACGGACTGATAAAGATAGGAGATTGGAATTCAACTGAAGGTTTAAAGATTTCTAGAGTTTACCCTGAAGCCATACCGACCAATGAGCTTAGTTTGAGAAACAGGACATTCGTTGTTATTACCGCACTGGTAAGGCTAAACTTGAACTTAATGCGCACATTAATAAGAGACAAAATGTCCCTTAAAGCAATTCTCTACGAAACTTTAAAACCCTCTTGTTTCTTCAATTTACTAATTCGGAACGTAATAAGAAACTAATTAACCACAGAAGATTGAAATAAATGATTAACCAAAACACGGTTCTTTTGTTGGATATTGAAACCGGCGTAGCAGATGCTTTAATTGTTGACAATGATTCACTCATTTCAATAAATTATTGTCCGCGGCAAAAAAATACGTACGCTGCAATTAGTCAAATGATTTCATATTTTTGATTGATTATTATTATCTCCTTCTCCCTCACTGGGTTCATTCTTTTTACATTTCACTCCAGAAAATGCTTTTTTAGACTGCGCCTTATGCCATGATGAAAAAGTCAGAGCCAAAATTGACAGGAAACGACCAGTACGAAGGTTTTGGTATCGACTTGATAAAGGAACTGGCACTTATGGAAGGATTCTCGTACGAGTTTAAAATCAGAGAAGACAAAGCCAATGGTCAAAAACAACCCAATGGTGAATGGACCGGAATGATAGGGGAAGTACTTAGCAAAGTAAGTAAATAAATATAAAAAATTCAAAAGGTCCAAAATTAATAAAATATTCTGTATTACGACAACTGAAACACATTATCACATATGTAATTTTCTTAAGGTATATTTTGATTTTCTTTGATCTAGAGTGCCGATCTTGCAATTGTCGATCTGACTATAACAGCCGAAAGAGTGGAAGCGGTGGACTTTACCTCACCCTTTATGACTTTAGGTAAGTCATTATATGTTAATTAAATATGAACATTTATCCCCTGCATCGTCTAATTCTATAATAGACAATGCCTACGTTTATGAAGAACTTCCTCCACGTTCCTGAAAAAGTCAAAAAATCCAGCACAAAATATTAACCAAATTTATTACAGGAGTCAGCATATTGTACAGAAAACCAACAAAAGCGCCGCCAAGTTTTTTTTCATTTGCTTCCCCGTTTGGTAACGACGTTTGGATAACATTATCGGGAGCATATTTGTGCGTTTCCTTGGCTCTGTTCATCACAGGACGTCTCAGTCCTTCCGAGTGGAACAATCCCTTTCCCTGTATCGAAGAACCCAAGTATCTCCTCAATCAGTTCAGTCTTAGGAACTCGTTCTGGTTCACGATTGGAAGTCTTATGCAGCAGGGGTCCGAGATAGCCCCCATGTAAGTAAAAAGAACTCTTAAAAAAATCCATTCGATTCCTTACGAAAATTAAAAGTATTTTTTGCGGTGCGAGTCGAGCATTAACAATAATTGAAAATCTAATAAAAACACGCTTTTGTTTAATAATAGTGAAGTTAACGTAGCAAGTGCTTCAATTGTTATCGATGATTCGCTTGCTTTGATAGTCATCGATGACTCGCTAACTTCAGCTTGCAACAAAGAACTAGCGATCTGATTGCTCAATAATTAAATACTTTTAATTGCTAATTCCTCGATAACTACGTATCCTATTAAAAAACTGCTAAAGAAAAAACGTATCAGAATCACAAAAGGAAATGAAAGGAGTGGTTTTTTACCAGGATTTTATAAATTATTCCTATGTTTTTCGTTGACTTTTGATGTCATGTTCAGAGCAATTTCTACCAGAATGGTTGCTGGTGTTTGGTGGTTCTTTACCCTCATCATGGTCTCGTCTTACACTGCAAATTTGGCTGCCTTCTTAACAGCAGACACCCCATTGACAGAGTTCTCATCGGTAAAAGAATTGGCCGAAAAAGCCGAACGATCAGGAATAAAATATGGAGCCAAAGCGGGCGGAGCTACGGCAAAATTTTTTGAAACGTCTGAAAATCCCTACTATAAAAAAATATGGGAATATATGGCTTCTCATCCCGAAGACATGCCCAAAGAAAATATTGACGGGGTGGAGAGGGCTGAAAGGGAGAAGTACGCGTTTTTTATGGAGTCTACCTCAATTGAATACGAAATTCAGAGACACTGCAACCTCTCGCAAGTCGGCGGCAAACTAGACGAAAAGGGATATGGGATCGCTATGAGAAAAAGTAAGTCGACTTAAAACAATAATTCGTTTCAGTATTGGTATAACATTACAATAGAATTCGCTTATAATGACATCGGAGGGAAATGACAAACACGCCATTTTGGTTAGTTATTTAGTTTAATAGAGAGAAAAACTACAAATTGTATATATTTATTAACAGAAAAAGAAAAAGAACGATGAATTGTAATATCAATATACGTAAGAAGGGTCAGAAAAATGAGCGAAAATGTTATTACTAATCATTTGGGTCACTATAGCCGGATATGATTTCTTGAGAATCAGTCATAATAAACGATATGTCATTTTAAACGGAGTTATTATATCCAAACTTTCCTATAAAGAATTTAATATGAAAACCAAACTTAACACTACAATTACTTCATGTTAAGCGGTTGGTCAATATAGGCGGAGTCATAATAAACGAATTCCACTGAACTTTTTTTAAAACAGACAAATTAAATGGTAAATTTTCATTAATTTGTTTACCAGATTCTAGCTACAGGCACATTTTGAGTACCGCAGTGTTGAAACTTCAAGAGTCTGGAAAAATAACTGAACTCAAGAGGAAATGGTGGGAAGAACGAGGAGCCCAATGTACGGTATGTTCAAATAAATTTTGCAAATTTTTTTTCTTAAATCATATTTTTCTTTTTCAAAATTTTAAGCTATCAAATAAAATAATTCGAAGTGGTCTGTATTCTGTCGAAAATTCCAGATGCGGATCGCGATTTCGATCTTTTTGGATCTCATCAGCGCGTCGCAGAGCATACATAATCCTAAAACGTAGCATCGTACTACAGATGGCGTTTACCGCGCCATTTGTGGTATTTTCTTAAGCTATCAAAATTATATGTTTTTTAAAATTTACCTATTTTATCTCAACAATTCGTGATTCATTCCATATTTCAGTTTCAGTTTTAAAATAAAATAATATCCCTATACATTCTGAAACCCTNTACAGATGGCGTTTACCGCGCCATTTGTGGTATTTTCTTAAGCTATCAAAATTATATGTTTTTTTAAATTTACCTATTTTATCTCAACAATTCGTGATTCATTCCATATTTCAGTTTCAGTTTTAAAATAAAATAATATCCCTATACATTCTGAAACCCTAAAAAAATACTGTATGAATCAAATAAAACAAATTTTTAAATATTTTAATTTACACAGGGTGAAGAGGCTTCGCAAGAAGCGCCCCCCTTAGATTTAGTAAATGTGAGCGGTATTTTCTGGGTTACTGTAGCTGGTACAGTGTTGGCTTTCGTATTTGTGTGTATCGAAATGGTACTTTATGTCTTTAGGGTTTCCCTAAGGTATAAAGTGTCATTTTTGCATGAACTACGTCAAGAAATAAAACACTGTTTTGCTTTCGATTCATCCACCAAACCAGTTAGACAAAAACTGATGCCAACCCCTGAAGAAGAGAGCGAAAAATGTCCCGAAAATGGCGACAATAAAATCAACTCCGAATATGGATTTAAACCTGAAATTATGAGAGAGTAAAGTGTAAAACATTATGTTACCGTTAGAAACATTGTTGTAAAAATAAGACCAATAGACATTACAATAAATAAATAATTAAATAATTTGGAAACCATTATTTAGTAGAGCCATTTTTAATTTGTTCCCATTTGTCTGTTAGCAAACAATCCAATAAAAAATACCACAGTTCCATATTTAACTTGCGGATTCCCCAAGACACAGCTGAACAACATGCACTATATCGCTCGCCCAAAGGGTGCGCCACTGTCGCTTACTTTACGTTGAAGAAGATGTAGAAACTTCTTTCTAATCTCGCGCATGCGCACGGTATCGCTTGCCCCTCAGTGGTAAAAGAACTAGATAATCTTAATATCCTTAGAATTATCGTGAAAATTTACATTGCATAAAAACATCAAGCGTCTAAAGCTCCAAGAAAAAAAACTAAAAAAATTGATCAAAATCTACGCAATCGTTTTTAAGCCTTATGAAGGACCCTGCGTCATTTTATTTATATTCACACAACCAAAAAAAATTTATTTTATTTAAATAAAGAACTTTCTTGTTTATATCAACAATCGATAAACAGTGAAATTAGTTTTAAAATAAATTTTTATTTTTATCGCTGTAATTAGTATTCACCTTTCCAAATACTTTTTATCTCTTGCTAATTATTTCGCAAATTGACATGGTGGTACCTGTACTTGCAAAAATATATAAATAAATACATTAATCCATTGGAATCGTATAAGTCCAACATTTTTGCAGAACAAATATTTACCATGTTTGGTGTATTGTGCACATTTTTAGTTATCTTTCGGGTAAGTTTAATATTTTTATTATTTTCTTCAGTTATAAGGATTAAGCGATTTTTAGGCGAAACAGTTTTTATGTGAATATGTCACTGGGGAAGAAATTAATACTAATGCATTTCCAACGAATGGTACTAATGGTAATAACAGGTGTTTCTGTTTTTTTTGTACCCATATATAAGCCTTTTGAAATATTTAATTAATCTTGTAGGCGATTTCCCTGTTTCACTTCCTGAACAAACTACAACTTCTTTATTGGAAAATCACCCGAAAGCTGTACAAGAATCATCACCAGTAAGCCCCACCAATACCAACATGCTGAAAAACGTCCCTATTTCGCTATTCCATAAATTTCGCCCCCNTCGCGCATGCGCACGGTATCGCTTGCCCCTCAGTGGTAAAAGAACTAGATAATCTTAATATCCTTAGAATTATCGTGAAAATTTACATTGCATAAAAACATCAAGCGTCTAAAGCTCCAAGAAAAAAAACTAAAAAAATTGATCAAAATCTACGCAATCGTTTTTAAGCCTTATGAAGGACCCTGCGTCATTTTATTTATATTCACACAACCAAAAAAAATTTATTTTATTTAAATAAAGAACTTTCTTGTTTATATCAACAATCGATAAACAGTGAAATTAGTTTTAAAATAAATTTTTATTTTTATCGCTGTAATTAGTATTCACCTTTCCAAATACTTTTTATCTCTTGCTAATTATTTCGCAAATTGACATGGTGGTACCTGTACTTGCAAAAATATATAAATAAATACATTAATCCATTGGAATCGTATAAGTCCAACATTTTTGCAGAACAAATATTTACCATGTTTGGTGTATTGTGCACATTTTTAGTTATCTTTCGGGTAAGTTTAATATTTTTATTATTTTCTTCAGTTATAAGGATTAAGCGATTTTTAGGCGAAACAGTTTTTATGTGAATATGTCACTGGGGAAGAAATTAATACTAATGCATTTCCAACGAATGGTACTAATGGTAATAACAGGTGTTTCTGTTTTTTTTGTACCCATATATAAGCCTTTTGAAATATTTAATTAATCTTGTAGGCGATTTCCCTGTTTCACTTCCTGAACAAACTACAACTTCTTTATTGGAAAATCACCCGAAAGCTGTACAAGAATCATCACCAGTAAGCCCCACCAATACCAACATGCTGAAAAACGTCCCTATTTCGCTATTCCATAAATTTCGCCCCCATCATTTTTTACGGCCGTTATCAGAAAAAATACAAAAAATTCATAAAAGAATCTTTGACAACTCTAACTGTAGTAACGTTAATGTTTTCCATAGAAAACGCTTCATGGGAAAATTTTCATTTAATAGGCAAGAGTGTCCCCCTAGCTCTTATGCATCATTTTATGTGCATTATTATGGAAATTTTGTAATTCCCTTTAATAGCACTAAATAAATCTTTTTATATTATTACATCAAAATAATTTTTAATTGTACATCTTATTTTGAGACTTGTAACTTTATAAATAATATATTGTATATACCACTTAATGATAATATTCTTTTGTTGGTCGTAAAAATTTATTTTTTTTTTTAATAATGACTGGGTAAATAAAAGTTTTCGTATTTCTTTCCACACAAAACCTGCGTCAGCGGCTATGGTGTTTACAAAATAAAATTAGGTAATTAAAATTTCATTTCGCAGGATCATTATCCTTAAAGAAACCAACGCGCTAGTGGCAATGTTTTTTCGTGAAAATAAAATGCAACATTAAAAAAAGTTGAACAACATTATCAAGGCCAGCTGGGTATCCAACCAATAACTTTCCTAAATCGTGAAATATTTGAAGATACGTTCAGTCAAAGAACTTGTTCCCAAACTCGTCTTCAGTAATCTTATCGTAATATAAATATACAGGGACACCCATAAAATACGGTCGAAAAAATGCCAAAATTTTACCTAAATATAAAATAATCAACCCCGCAGAATTTTTATTTGGTAAAAGCATAAAACAATTATTATTGCAATTAACACTAGTGGATCAATAAACTTTAAATTGAGTTGAGATTATAAATACATTAGAGTTAAAAAACTGAAGACCCTCTAGATATTTTATAATGGTAAGACCCAACAAGTCCTCTACTCTTAATGTGAATTGTGTATATTGTTAATTCAATACGAAAAAGGCACAAAAGGAACCCTGATGATATCTGCCCCAAACGAAACGTTTTTAAAAATATTTTCATTTTCATAACAAATTTGATATAAGTAGGGGTTACAATTTAGATGTAAGATACTAGGAATTGAAAAATAATAAAAACAAAATAAATAAAATGATATTTACAATTTAGAAAACAATTTAATAATTTATATAATAAACTAAGCAGTTAATTCACATTGAGCAAATTCTTAAATTCTCTCAGTTCTAGAACATTGGTGCGTAAAGCCAAAGGTTCCGGGTTCGATTCCCGGCG